CCACCCTGGTACGGGGTGATATTGTGTTGTATACAATGTTAAAAGTCGTAAATTACAATTAATATACTTCTACTATCATGTATTCAACCATCCTACATTTTGGTTTGTTCATACCACCATTGTACGTTTTTCAAAACATAGGTATGCTTTTATTTCAATACCAGTCAATACCATATGGTATAGGCTGGTAAAAAATGGCTCAATTTTTTTTGTTCGAAAAATATATTAAAGTGGATATCATTTTGAAGAGCACAATTAATCTGATCTAACTGTGCAAAAAAAATTAAATTTCGACTTAAAATGAGCGAGAAATCGTCTGTCAAAGATTAAAGAGGGAAAAATTAAAGGCTTTCTATGAGAGAGAGGATGCTGATGTCATACTGGTGTGGACAGATTACTCATGGTTACTCACCATAAGGTTACTGACCTGATTCATTCCCCAAAAGACTCCATAGGAATTGTAAATAAGTAAGGGATGGTCTCTTTGGCACTTACCTTTTCCAACACCAAAAATATTTCAAAGCCACCTATTTAAAGAAACACAAATCACAGTGAGTAGTGACATGTGTATTGATCAGCAACCAAATCAGAAGGCAACCTCATAGACAACATTATATTGTATAAGGAATCTCAATTCGCCTAATCAAGATCTTTCATAAAGATCAATTTTTATTGTGCACCGCAGTGTAATTAATACCTTATTAGTATCTTTAATTAACTAGTTGAGAAAATAAAAGATATTATCACTAATTAAACGCCATCGATAGCATACATAGATGGACCTATTATTTTGTACAATATTCTAGTTGTTGATTTTCCAACAATTTAGGAATATTTGCTTTTTAGATTTGAAATGAGAGTTTTGAGTTTTAAAAACCTTTGGATTTATGATAGATTTGTTGCATTATGGATTTGGAAGAATACATTGTTTGTTTAGCTAATTTTTAACATGGATTTGTCTTACAATTTTGCTTTCCATTATCAAATCTCAAATGAAATGTGTGATTGGGGTCCACAGATTTGGATCTAAAAAAAAGGGTTCAAATCCATTGGTTCCACGAATTTGTATTTCGTAGCAAACAATGAATTTGTATCAAGTCCATGATGCTTGTCATTTGGGTGTCAAATCCATCACCCAAATCTCACAAGCAAACGATACCTTAGAGATACCTTGTGAGTGTTATGACAAGAAATAGGCCTAATGTCTTATCATGCATTTAACATTAGTGATCTTACCAACCATAATGAAGAAATGAGCACGTGGAAGTTGGAAGTACCTTGAGTCTGTGATCTATGACGGCAAGTAATGTTCCACGGAAACTCGCAAACAAAGAACATGCAAGTGGAATTATTTATTGATGGCCTAAATTCTGTCGATCATGTTGTCATAAACTCTCAAAAGTCAAAACAACAATGCTCATTAAAAAATAAAACTCTCAAAACAACAATGGACTCTATTGGGTACAAATTATCTAAAACCGGAATGAAGTTGCCCCAAGAAAGCAGTCGGAAGTATCTCAAATATTACAGACATTTGAAACCCTAAAACATCCATCTCAACTAAACAATCCAGCAACTACAAGGAAAATTACCCCCTCTTGCCCAAACCTTTTATCCCTATACAGAAATCAGATCGCTTTAGAGCTTAAACCTTGTCAATCTGACCCCAAACATCTGATATGCAAATATCTCGATCCACACTGCAGCTCTCCTTATGGTATCCTGGAGAGTTTTGCTTTGGTGCAGATGAAGTTCTGATTACTATTTGATTAACCTCTTCAAGTCGAATCCTTTTGACGGGTTAGAAAGCTGAAGTGTAATGCGAAGAATCTCATCTACTTGCAGGGATGCACTTGTGATCAGCAGAATCAACTACCATTCCCGCAGGAGAATTACGAAATGGCACAACCTGTTCAGAAGAACACTCTTTGAGAGTTCAGTACAAGTCGAAGAGCAAAGTAGAAGGTTGATCAGAAAGTAATCAGGATCAATGCATCACCTGATCGCTGCGGGGAGCATGATCGTTAACCACCACAACTTTGATTCTTTTCGAGCTGCAGGTACTGCTTGCGCCCTTTGCACTGTCGTCGTCCTCCTCCATGTCTTCATCGACAAAGTTCTGATCTGACATCTCTACAGTGGATAAGAGCTCATTTTTTAGCCAACTCCAAAGATATGACATTGCTTCAGATGCAAGGCAATATATAATAACATGGAAAAGCACCTGTGTAGTTGTTGTTAGAGTGATCATGATGATTGCTAGAAGAGTGAAACCCCTGCGAATTTTGAGGATCCTGATGCTGGGCTCCCACACTGTGAGGCTTCTTCACACATCTGAAATGTTGGATCCAGGGGCTCTTGAGGAAACCCTGCGCTTCAGTCCTCGTATTTACCCGCGAACCTCCTGGCCTTTGGAAGTCGACTTTCTGCCAGCAGCCACGTCGAAGAACCTTAAACTGAAGGGGGGTAAAGTGAAGACAAACAAAGGGAATCATGGAAAAGTGGCTCTTTCATACCATCAATTAGCTACAATTCCCCTCAACTGGGAGGAAAGAGTTTTTGTTGTGTCAATTACCTGACCAGAAGGGGTGCTCATGGTTTCGAATTGTTGTTGCCTCGAGAGTTTTGGATCAATGTAGCCATACAACTGGTCAACGAAAGTTGATTCCATGGATTTGAGATAAAGCCTATGCTCCTCATTGGTCCACTCCTTAGGCATAGATGATTCCACAGGCGGGTCCTGCAGAAAACCAAACATCACCGGTCACCATCCATGCAGTCGAGCAATGCTAAGAAAAAATCATGGTCGAGACATCATTCCCTATTGCCAAACATTCTTACAGGCTTCAACATTGTTGAACATCATACCAAACTAACAACCCAGATCACAATTCAGCGATAAAGTCGCTTCTTTACTTGGGGACACTCTTAAAAACAAATTAGCAACCCCATGAATGGTTATACAGACTGGTTCACTTGGCCAATCCTTAGGATTAACAATTCAAAACATCCAATCTCAAAAGGGTGAATCCCGGTATGTGGAAATTGCCATGGTCAGGCTTATGATTGTAGTGGACGAGCGACAGAGTAAAAAATGAGTGGTTATGGTGCATCCACAGCCATCTGATCAGGAATCTAACAGCCGACGAGGCATAACCGGTTCAGCAGCCAAGGCAAATTGCATTCTGTGCACAATCATCAAACCCAGTACCCAATTCTTAAGAAACAAGAGGAAAGAACAGATCAAAACCCTTTTTTCACCTCAGCAAAACATATTAAAGCCAAAAAAAAAAAAAAAGTTAAAGAGGCACAACCTTAGCTTCGAATCACTACTCACTACCAACCAAAGAATTAAGCAATCAACTAACAACAAGAATTTTTTGATAACCTACTAGGAACAAGAATTCGCTAAATATAATCATATGGAATAAAAACAAAGTAGTAAAATAGCAAAATATCTACTTCATGAAAAAAATATCTAAAAGAGGAGCAACCTGTTGGCGAGAAAGGCTGAGGGTCTCGACGCGGTGGGCGAACTCGGAAGCTGGATCGTCACCGGCGACGAGGGAACTCGTCCGAGTCCTGACTCTGCTGCCGCCGTCCATCAGAGAGAGAGAGAGAGAGGAAAATGAGAATTGAGAAGCGAAGAGGATGAAGATGGGAGAACTTTTTTGACGGAGCAGAGGGAGAAAAATAATAAAAAGGGGGAGGAGAAACGTTACAGTTGTCACCGCTTTATTCCACGTGTCAATGTGTGATCAGGATCCACGTCACCACCACCCCCGGTTTTTGTGGGGCCGACCCCCTGATATTAAGCGATCTCCCGATCAGGATGAAGGATGGAAGGAAAAGAGAGGCCAGATATTTTCTTTCTCCTTTGCCGTTTCTTTCTTCCATCCAAAATATCTCCTCGACGTTACGCGGTGGTGGAGTTTTCACTTCGCCCACGTTATTAACTGCAGGTTGGTCCTTATTATAGATTTGGTTTACATTTCAGTCCCTTTTTTCTAACTAATAACCTTTATTATAAGAACCGCACGGAATTCGCGGCTGGATCAGTAGAATCGTCGGACCAGTTATAATGGAGGTTCGATTCATTTGCTTGAGGGATACAAGACGAATCAAATGACTTTTTTACGGTTGGACATGAAACTAGATTAATCTGTTCGGTTTGACTAGTCTACTCGTTTATTATTTTTTAATAAAAAAATGTTTGAGAAATTTTTTTTTAAGTTATAAACTGAGACAATCCAACCATACTAACTAATTTTATTTGTACTTCCTCTTCTTTGTTTTCCAGTCTTTCATTTATTTATTTACCCAATCTGATATCGATTTCTACCGAATTATTGATATGAATTTTATAAAATTCATGGATAGATTCTTTTGTGATTAGGGTATTCAGGAATTAACTAGTAGTCTCCTGTTGGGATCAACAATCATCCTTACATATATTAACTTGTAATCATGAATTAACTTGTATTAGAGTACTCATAAATTGACTTGTACTCTCCCATGATTGAACAACATGAAGCTAATATTCGTTGAATTGTCTGTAAACATAACCATACGAGAACATTTATGGGTCGCCTGAATGAGGTCTTTTAATTAAAAACATGAGTCCCTTTGTGTCAAATTACTCATTTTACAAAAAAACAAAAAAACAAAAAACATCTAGACTGTCATGTTTCTTCATTCAAAATGAATCATTATGAGACAACTGCGACAAATTATTTAATCCAAATGCCTACGACCTCTGGATTAGGACGGTGTTGAAGGATAATTGGCGTCATAGTACACTAACATACAAAATGACATACTAATGTAAAGGTTCATTAAAAAGGACGAATATGTTAATAACAATAAAAAAAAAAATCATGGACTAAAATAACATACTGATGTAAAGGTTCATTAAAAAGGACGAATATGTTAATAACAATAAAAAAATCATGGACTAAAATAACAAGAAAGGGTGACTTGCAGGAGTGAGTCACAGATTTCGTGAATTCAAACTCATCCTACCCGAAACTCCCCTGTATGGAATGCATTTGGCAATTTGCCTTTCTCCTCGCCGCCACCGCCATTGCTACTAGCCCTTAGGCCTTTTATCTCTCTATCCCTCACAAAGCAACGTAAATATCACAACAGATCTTTTGGGTTTTCGATCGACATCTCCAATATTCGCACCAATTTTAGTAACCTAACTAAGCTTAGCATTAGCAACTAGCAAGCAACACATAAATGAATACAGTTATGTAGCAAAAGCGACACTTAGATAGCTACTTTTTTCTAACCAAGGGACAATTATCGCTGCCCAATTTTGGCTTCAATTTTCCCTCCCTTCTTCTATAATTGTATCTGGACCACTACGTCGAGACGGAACGGCAGTACAATCACGTCGAGACTAGCAAGCTTTAAGACGAGTCGGAGGCATATCGAGCCAAACACCATGTTCGTGACTGTAATATTGTGCATGACCTTTCAAATAAGTTGGCGTGCTCTAGACGAGGGAAACGTCGGATTCCATCAGATACAGAACAACAAAGGTTTTGGAAATTGACATTCAACATTATTTTCCCGAATTCATTTTCTTGATCGACTCGATCGGAAGCTTCTCGATTAATACCGTGCTTCACATTTCCTTGGTGGGGGCGAGTTGAGCGTCAAAAAATATCTGGAGACTGGAAGGGAATCAATCAAAGGGTATATTTTTTGTAGATAGGGAATTGACACAAGAGGGAAAGCATATGAATGTCGGCAAAAATATCATGGAAAGGGACAGAGCTAGGACAAAACCCCAAAATCCTACGCTAAAGCAGGTATTGAATTCAATGATAAAAAGAGGTGGGGAGTGTCTCCCCACGCCAATTATATTCCTTCACAAATGCTCTGTTGGATTGTTCGGCGGTCTGGCCAAGCTAGGCGACTAGCAATCTAGCATTACCATAAAATTAGGCTCCAACCCAGCACAATGAATGTAGTACAGAAAGACTAGAAGCAGCTGCGATGTTCGATCCACAGGATCGTAACGCGCAGTGGGATTAGGATATGCCTTAAAATCCGATTCAGCGAAAATCAACGCAGTAAAACCGTGACATGATCCTAAAAAAAACGAGCACCTAGATGATCTCTGGCGGGGATTTTATTCGTAGCACAGGCATGAGAAGTACAGTAAGTAAAAGATATTCACAGTGGTACACAAAATTGGGGGGATCAACTAGATGATCACTTCTTCTTAGTTCGACATCGTACCAAAAACAAAAATCAAAGAAGAAAAGCAGTGTTGATAATTGGGAAATTGATATCGAGAGCTATTTACTGGCTTTACAGTATGAAGCTTTAGCATTTTCAGTGCGGCGAGAGCAAAGGGGGATAACAGTGGCAAAAGTGAAATGGGGGGTACAAAGGTTTGCACCCAAAGAGTTACCTCATTCTGAACCTTATTCATCTTTCTCCTGCTGGCAAGATATTCACCTAGGTGTGGCCTTCGTACCCGGCTTCTTTTTGTGGAGTTGTAAATTGGTCAAGAAACCGACAATAAGAAAGATCCTAGCATCAGAAGCAGGATGACGGTCGAACATCAGGATTCTGCCCTGTCATCAACTTCCGGTATCACAGTGTCTTGCAAGTCCATTTGACCTGTACATTGCCAACCACAAGGTTATACACTAGAACAACTCTCTTATTCTCGCACGAGTACCTTAGAATGCTTGTTTTGAGCATCCTTTTTTTGTGTTGGTAGATATTAATCAAGAATAGTAGAGAAGGGAAATGGAGAGTGTTACCTAACAAGGAAATCAACGATGGGGAGCTTCCATTTGATTTCATGTCTGTACCTGGGAAAATGAGGTAAACATCCATTGTCAACTAGCCATTCATCTGCATAAAGGGACTGCGGGTTCTCGTTCTTCAGTGAAGATTATAATATTACCTGAGCTTTCCAACGATTTGAGGACATCTGATTTCTTGTAAGTGAATCCGATGAAGTTGGTATCTTTCGAAGCCAACATCTACACCAAGTAAAGAGGTAGTCAGAATGGGAGTCATCAATAAATATAATTGCAGATCAACGTCCCCAGAAAGCAAGAAGGAATCCACTCCAAGGAGGAGAAATAAATAGTTCATAAGCATTTGCTCTGAGAAAATACTGATGTAGTGCTATTTGAATCTGATGATTAGAAAAAACCAGCAACTACTGAAAACAGAAAGGTAAAATAGTGGCAACTAGAACAAGTTGAAGATAAGGTTAAAAAGCCACATTTCCAGCAGGTAAAGTGAAAAGAATAAGTTACTACATTTTGCAGCTGATAACACGAAACAAGGGGGCTGATTTAAAATCCGAGTTTCTGCTTTCGAATAGGGCTGTACAGTTTATAGGCAAGTAGGAGAAAGGGGAAATAAATGTTCAAATTCCTTCAGAATGAATCATCAACGGCAACAAAACAAGTTAAAAATTCCCGAGGAAATGAGAGGAAACAATAAGCTGGTTTTGTATCAGGTGCTATTATTACCTTTCTCCAGGGTCCCACACTTGGTATTGCTGATGGTGCACCATCCAACTGAAAGAAGTCCACAGGACATGCATTTATCAGACCAACCACTTCAGAAAGCAACAAGATACAAGTGCTCAAAAGTAATCTAAGCAAGAAAAAAAAAAGTAAAAGCCCATATTGAGAAGAAAAGAATATTATGATTCATGTTTGCTTTTTGGACAGCCAGGGTTCTCAATGAATCTCATGGATCAAGAGAGAGAGAGACTCTACGAATGGCATGCTAAACACAAATTTATTAGGTTTGTGGTCCTCGCCGGACAAAGCTTCAGTGAATTCAGTAAGGTTCACGATTCAATCATGTTATTTTACCGACGAAAAGCACAAAAATAATATATATGCTCTGAGCACATCGCACTTACTTCAGGAAACTTCTCAAAATTCTGCGTGTCCAACTCTCCATTCACTGTAGGCTGATATGCAGCCTCCATTTCATACAGCTTATCCCACTGAACGGATCTGAACCATGGATGTGCCTGAGATCAGAGAGAACTTAAGAACAGGCACAGCTAAAAGAACACATAAACCAAGTAGTGTACGTATCAACAGTTGCAATATGTCCTCAAAACAGCAAGGAAAATATTCTTTCTTCGAAAAAAATGTACCTTCAATTCTTCCACTCCTCTGGTGCCCAGCCTTGTATCAACATCACAAAGCAGATGGCGAATCAGGTCTTTGGCCTCATTGGATAACTTGGGCTCCTCGGGGAAATTCATACATGTCTTCCAGTTTATTATCTGATGGGAGATAAGAGATATTTCATCAACCCTAAGCCCTATGAAGAATTCTAATCAGAAGTAACTGAGACGTAAACTAGCAACCACCTTGCGGCAAGTGATCCTGGGATCATCAGAACAGAAGGGTGGGTATCCAACAAGCATCTCATACATAATTGCACCAAGGGACCACCAATCACATTCCATTCCATATCCCTTCTTCAGGAGCACTTCAGGAGCCATGTAATCAAGAGTTCCAACAGTTGAATAAGCCTGAAAAAAAGGCACAAAACTAAAGCTGTTAACTTGCATCCAAAATAGTGGATTGCCCAAGCAAAAGCTTTATAAGGTCATACAAGGGCACGGCGATTGCGCTTCCATTGTTGCAATTGCTCCTTGGGCATCATCCAAGGTGGCCTGTCACTACCTCCGCTGTCAGTCGTGGCCTCCTGGTTCACAATATCCTCATTTGCCAACAAAGTTGAATATTTATCATCAAGGGGCTTACACAGACCAAAGTCTGAAAGCTTCAAATGGCCATTTTTGTCCAGTATAAGGTTATCTGGTTTTATGTCCCTAAAAGCAGCATAATTTGAATCAGCATCTTATGATTTTGCATTGAATTTAGAATGAAAAGCCAAACATGTGGGGATCAAATGCCCAGTGTGAGCTGCTTCCGTTTTGAGGCTTCAGCACTTGCACTACTTATGGAAGAAACAAAATATTTTGGGATTCAGTTCTGCTCCACAAACCAAAACCAGTTCTTCTTGGCTTTGGATCAGACATATAAATCACTTGAAACCATATGAACTTGTGGATAATTACATGATGCGACAAATGACTTACCTGTGAACGTAATTGTGTTGATGAATTGAGTGTATCGCTAGGATGCTTTCTGCTATGTAAAAACGAGCAACATCCTCGGAAAGAATATCTTCTCTCATCAGTAATGTCATGATGTCTCCACCAGGTAAATATTCCATTATTAGGTACAAGAACTCTGAGTCTTGAAAAGAATAGAACAGCTTTACAATGCACCGACTGTCCACCTCGGCTAGTAGATTTCTCTCTGATCGAACATGCTCAACCTTGAAAGACAAAAGCAAAACTGGTTTCAGGCATACATCACGATATGATTGGTGGATATATCACACAAGGTAGGTTTAAACATAGGCATGCGCTAACGGGTAACTATTGATGGATAAAGATCTGCTAATTGGTTATATTCAATCCAAACGATACCAACAACTTGATAGATTAGATACAATCAACAACGCTAGGATTGCTTCCAAGTAGTTAACTGCTATATCATCTAAAACTTTAGCAGTGAACAATGCACTCAATGATGTTTGGAAATCTTAACTCTTGAGGTTATATTCAGCACACCTACCAATCTAAATATAGACCATTAATTGCACCCAACTGATAGCGTGATCATGATCCCAACCAAAGTACCAAGAGGACAACGGTAGCCAGTATAAATGAATCTAGGAATTTATCTGACCTGCCCACGGCTAAGCATTTCCGATTTCTTCAGTTTCTTCATGGCAAAAATCTCCCCAGTGCCTTTGGCCTTGCATAACCTGACCTGCATTATCCGATGCATTCATTAGAACCTTTCAATACGAGGGGGGGGGGGGGGGGGGAACAAAATTGGTTGGGAGAAATCAAGAAAAAAACAAGAAATCTACCTCTCCGAATGCACCTTTACCAATGACAGTTAATTGTTCGAAATCATCGATCCCAACTTTGCGTCTTTGCATCCTCATGAACTCAGTTTCTCTCCTCTCCAGGCTCCTCATCAGTTCCTCCTGCTCCTCACTTGATACATGAGCCTCTTGTGCTCTGCGCTGGAGCGTCCGCCGTCTGACATTCATAGTTCAGGTTGATCATACATGCTTCAAATTCACTTCCACGAAGCAGACATAAAAAAGGAAATCTCTAGAAGGAAATGTTCAGCTAATTAAGTCTTAACCAAACAGAAACTAATCCATTCACGATGTATTCTACTACTCCGTTTATTGAATGAAGCGAATAGCATACAAGTCAGTCAAACTGAGGTCGCCGGCCAGATAGTCACAGAACCTCATTTGATCATACTCTGACCTCCGATTGACTTCGATCAAAACCGCAATCAATTCAAATTCGAGCCACTAAATCACAGAACCTCCCGGATTCCAAAATCCGCTCGTTCGAAACAGATAAATCAACGATCCGCGAGATACGATCACTGCAATTTACAAAAACAAAAAAGATACGAGGAGGGCTCGCTCACCTCTCTTTGCGATCCTGCAATCCTTGCAAGTAGTTCTTGTAGTGATTCTCGATGAACTGCTTGGCGGCGGCAGCTTTCTGCCTGGTGACCGGCGACGAAACCGACACATCAGAGTCCAGGCCGCTGCGCTCCCTCAAGTTGAGAGCCCCGAGCCTCACCGTTCCCTCACCGCCGGCGCCGTCCATTGCTGTCGGCCAAATCCTCCAATCGAGAGCAAGGAAATCAGATCAAGAAGTATCAGCTCCCGCACCAATACTCGAGAGCGAAAATCAGAGACGACGGTGCTACTGCATCTGGATTGAATTGCTAAGCAAGCTCGGAACTGCTCAGCGGCAACGAGCAGAGAGAGATCTAAGCAGAGCTGTCAGTGTTCTGGAAAATGACTTCAGAGAGAGAGAGAAGTTGAAGGTGGGGAGAATTCTGAAAGAGGTGGTGAGCCGAAGCGAAATGAACTGGCGAGATTTGTGAGGGATTTGGTATATATATTTGGAGAGAGAGAGAGAGAGAGAGGACGCAGGACCAAGTGTTATTATTTATTTGTTTTGCTCGCTGGCTTGGCTGGCTGGGTGGCCTCACTGGAGATCATTTTAATTTTTCCTCTTTTCTTGTTTTGGGTTTCGTTTTTCTATATAACTTCCCTTTTGGGGTGGAATGGGAGTGGGATGGACGCCATCGATTTCCTCGCTTCCACTGGAATCTCCACATTATACCTCAAGGCCGTGTTTGTTTGTTTCTTTCAGCTAAAGTTAAATAAAAGCGTGTCCCTTAAATTGAATTATAACTAAATTCATCAAACAAACAGGAGTTATAATTAAGCTATTGTCCGCCAAAAACCTGGCTTGTTAGCAAGATTAATAATTATTAATTTGTTCTCAATTATTACCTTTTCGTGACTAAACAAACATATCCAATTCGATATAACAAAAGTTGAAGTATGACATAGAAGTGGCATTATATGAGAAGAAAAGTTAGAAAAATTGTTTCACAATAATAAGGGCTCAATGTAGTCATATTAGTTGTATTTCGCGTTTTGAGGTTGAAAATATAACGAAAGTCGCTATAACGAAAGTCGCACTTTGCAAAAAGTTATTACGAGAATCTTCGTTTATGACGATGCAAATAGGGATGGCAATGGGTCGGGTTATGCCAAACACAAACCCAAACCCATGAGTTTATCTGTGAAAAAAACACGGGGTAAAACCCATTGGATTTGAAAAACTCAAACCCAACCGAACTCGCTGGGTATCCGCGGGTTCATGGGTACCCACGGTTTTTGTCGTAAATATTTACAAATAACAAGTTCCTATCAAAATTAAAGTCAAATATCAATCTCTCAATACAAATTATCCATATTTAAAACACCATTCTAGAAAATTCAAGCAAATCACAAATTAACTATACAAATTGTTCAACGTCAATCTAGAAAACTCAAGAAAATTGAAGCAAATCACAAATTATCCATAAATAACATGATTGATTGAAAGCTTCTTCCTTTCAATTAAGTTTCTTCACTCTCCACTCGATAACATCAACTTCATTCTACACGATTAGAAATAAAAAATTAGACATGTCTCCACAAACATAAATAAGATTAGTTGTTTAGAATATTAAATGTATCGAGAAAATTAATTATATGGGTGTGGGCGGGTACCCATGGGTCGGGTTTACCTAAACCCAAACCCAACCCGGTGAATAGTGAACGGGTTTAAACCCAAATCCGGTCCAAAACCCGTAAACACGGATTTTACCCGCGTTGACCGAGTAGGGTCGGATGGGTACCCGTGGGTTCGAGTTTTGTTGCCATCCCTAAATGCAATTGCTATTGGCATTCATGTCAATGTTTAATTATGTGCCATGGTGGCCGTTAATTTTCAGGCTCAACTTTAAATGTGCATTGTTTGGTATTTGGTTTGTTCACATTTACATCATTATTTTTCTTCTCACTTTTTAAGGCCAAACTTCTTAGACAATGTATGGAAATTATGCATCACTTTGGTTTTACATAGCTAGCATAACCTTCGTTAAGTGCATGCGTTTTACACCTTCGATATTTTTCTTTTTATATTTCCAGGCATGTGTCATTTAGTGCCACATTTATCATCACTTGTTTGTTCGTATTTGTTCCTCTTGCTTTCCTATGAACTAGTAAACGACCTAACGTTATTTTATTTCCCCAACTTTTACAAATGCCAAACAAACAAACATGGCCTTCGGCCAGCGATGGCCTCTCTGTTTATTTCTTTTTCCGTGGGTGGACTCACTCGCTACAGTGTCGGCGGAGATGAATACGAGAACAGGTGAGCTTGATTTTTGGGGAGAAATATAAGTACCAGACGGTGGCGCGTGAATATTACGTGACGTTGCATTGGAGGAATGGAGTGCGTGGCAGGTAAGAGAAGACTGGCGAGTGGTTCTTCTTTCACCCCGGTCGTTCTGACTTCTTTTTGTTTCTATTCTTTGAGTTTGGGTTCAATGTTTCAACGGTGGGAATGATGGTGGTGGTGAGTGGCGTCGGTTGGTCTGTCCTCCTTTTCAGGGCCGAGATTGACAGGTGGTGGTGGGCCGGGCCGGCTGGATCAGGGTGGACATCCAAAGCCGAAACGTGGCACTGGTGACCCAGAAACGCATTGAAACTTTGGACCGGGTGTGGGGCCCGACCAGTGGCCATTGGCCGAGTCTTGGCTCAATAATTTGTTCTCGTGGGTGTTAGCTAGCTCATGACTAGGGTCGTTTGGATATGGAAATTTGAAAACGTTGGAATTTGTCTGAATTTTCATGTTTTACAAAACCAAGGAATTGACATGTGGAAATTGAAAAAAATTCATGTTTGGATAGGGTTTAGTTTTGTGGGAATTGATGGTGTGGAATTTGGAAAAAGAAGTAAGAAAACGTGGTAATGTCAAATTACTAGGGGGAGGTGTAGTATTCTCAATTACCATGAATGTGGTAATTAAAGCCAATTTCCATGGTCCAATTCTCATACTCTTTTTGCTCTCCCAAACGTGGGTTTTTAACCCAATTACTGCATTATGTGGTAATTGGATCCAATTACTGCATTACATTTCCACATCCAAACGACAATTGTTGAGTGCGCTAAATTAGATTTGCTCGAGAAGAATTTTGCTACCACGCCACGTCCTCAACCGGTGTGCTGTGGACATATTTGTTGACGGGTTCCATAACCATGACTAGTTATGTCATCAATGTAATAACTAAAATAACCATCCGGATATTAAGGATAAGTCTTTATCCTAGTTCTAATAGGATTGTAATTAGTCTTTCCTTCCCTTATATGTATTGTATTCCTATAACCTTGGCTATGAATAGCCCTCTGCTATGTTAATACAACACACAACATTCATAATTCTTACATGGTATCAGAGCCTGCAATTCTGTCCTATAATTCGTGCCTCGGACATATCGGTGCGCTCCCACATTCAGCGCCTGATCTCCGTCGCTGCAGCTCCCTCCTCACGATGGCCACTGAAGACTCTGCCACATCCGGCACCACTGAAGCTCCGTCCGATGTTGTTGTCCTGCCTGCTCTCGTCACCATCAACCCTGCCGCCAGCCTCCCGCTGAAGCTTACTCCGACTAACTTTCCATCCTGGCGTGCTCAACTTCTGTCCTTGCTCCAAGGGCTTGATTTAGTCGGCTATCTCGATGAAACTGTTGCAGCTCCTCCTGAACGTGTCATTGTCAACGGCATTGAGACACGAAATCCAGCCTACACTCACTGGTTTCGGTAGGATAAACTCCTCCTCGACAACCTCTTTGCTTCCGTCTCCGAAACGGTATGCCCCTTTATTAGTCTGCCACCTCCTCTGCGGTGGCGTGGTCCACGTTGGTTCGGATGTACGCCAACACCTCCCACTCGCGTGTCATCACCCTTCGATACCGTCTCCTTACTGAGAAACGTGGTGATCGTGATGTCGCCACCTATGTCTAGTCCAGGCGTCCAGGAAGCTGTCGCAGTTCACGGTCAGACAAGGCAGTTCACGATCTCCTAAGGCCATGAACTGGAATCACAAACTGTGAACATCGAGGCGTCCAACGAGGTTCTAGAAGTTACTGACGACAAGGTAGTTCACGGTCACTAAGACCATGAATTGGAGCTATTGCCCGTGAACCCAGAAGTGAAGCGACGTGTTTTGGCGACAACAATGAGTTCACCACGGACGCGCTTAGGTGTTCACGGTCGTGAACTGGCCAACGCGTCCGTGAACTGCTCACTTTCGGGCAAATATGAAGACAGCAGCGGGGAGAGAGAAATGGGAGCTGGTTTTTGGAGAAGAAACATTTTCTTTCTCTAGGGTTTCAACCCAAAACACCAAAGGGGAGTTCTAGTGAGAGAGGGAGTGATCTTGGAGTTTAATAGAAGGCATTGATCAAGCTTGGAAGCTAGGAATCAAGCCTAGAAGAAGAAGAAGAAGAAGAAGAAGAAGAAGATTTAGAGGTTTCTTTGTAATCTCTCCTCTCTCTGTAGAAACTCACCCTCTTCTCTTGGTTTAAGAACCCTAGGTCTAGTTTTGGGTTTGTTGTTGATGTATGTGACAAAATCCTTAGTTTGATTGTTGATTTTACTTAATTAATGGATGTTCTCTTGAATGGCATGAGTGTGGTTTTCATTTTCATGCTTTGATATTTTGACCAAGGAGTGGGATAATCCCCTTAGAGCCCCTTCCTTGGTGTCTTCGGGGTCACTCCTATCGTATATTGTCCGGGTAGGCCCCGAGGGAGTTGATTCGACCGTCTCCTAGCAATATACGATATCCTAGGTTGAATAGAGCACTACCCATCCATTGATTCGCCGTTCTGAGTCATTCCCGAGGGAGTCCATCTCCAAGCGGTAGTGTATTTGAGTCGATCGAGCTAGAAGGATACTCAACATCGATTCAATGGTCGGAAATAGGGGGAATTAACTCAAGAGAGCTCCCAACCCTGTAAATAGCTAAGTTAGTGGTTAGCTAGGTTAGTTAGCTTAATTCTTCTAATCACCATCCTAGGTTGGCTAGATAACGAACCTTAAACCTGAAGTAGGGTAAGCCTAGATCCCCGTGGTATGATAAATTCTTATTGCTTGTCTGCCCTATGCTACACCCGGTCGGCGGTTATACTTGGCCGTCGATTGGGATGTTGTCGTTAGAACGAGTCATCAATCCAATCTATTTGTCACCTCTGAAAAAATAGGAGGGAACTCACAACACTTGAATTCAACTTATTATTCTTACAATATTGTTGTACGGACTACACTAATAATATATCGAGGCATAATCACATATTTCATCGAGCAAAAAATTTTTGTTTTTATCTAAACAGAACAAGGAGCGCCTCTATAAAAAAAAATATCAAGCACATGGATGAGATAATTTGGGTGAATGGTATCGCTGTACTAGGGCTGGATTTTCGGTTAGATTGGTTATAACCGATAACCGAAATGTCGGTTACCAGTTAATCGCGGTGCTAGCAGTGTCTACCGCCAACCGCCCGACGGAAACCATCGGTTAGCC